TTTGACCCAGAAAAAGTCAAGTTGAATGTATAGGAGATGTTGTAGATAAGATCTTATATAGTTGAGGTACCAAAGATATAAAGTCCAATATATAAAACATGTTTATTTAATAAACATTTTAATATTTTTTTCGAGTAAAACGTGATATAGTAGTATTTTATTACTTAACAAGAGACCCAGCAAACTGGGGCGTGCCAAGGTATAACTTACGGGTTCAACCGAATTCAGTAATTTTGGTTCAAATCCTATATTTGTTTAAAAACTTTTTTTAATATGTACAAATTATTAATTTAAAAAATTAAAATTTTAAACTCATAAATTTCCACTTCTACCAACCATGACATCATATCTTTGAAATGGCAAAACAATTTATTGTGCGATAATGAAGAGTACAACCAAAAGTAATATTGTGAGGAGACTTTGCCATTTCCACTGTCTGATAATTCACGCAAAGCTGTTGATTTAAGACAATTTAATTAGCTGCTAGATTTATAGATTTATAGGGTTCAGCAAGGTCTATCCATGTCGTTGCCTTGAAAAGGGTACAGATATTTTTCAATTCAAAAGGTTCTAACTCAAAACTTTTGATTAAGGGTAAATTGTTCCATTCATCCGCCACACGCCTTAATCGTTGGGCATGATTATTAAATAAGAGTTTACCTTTTATCGTATAGAATTAAATATATGATTTCAAAATTGTGCATAATGTACATTTTAAAAAAAATATTTTGAATTAAATTGGGTTCCACCATACTAGTGATGATGCTTGAGGAGCTTTAATTATGTAGGTAATATCACGAAGGTGGAATTATTTCCAGACAACACAAAAATAAAAGTAAAGTTTTTTATTCAAGATATATTCAGTATTTGTGAAGGAATTTTTTTAACTGCAGACTCTGAAGTACCTTATATATATATATATATATATATATATATATGTCTTACTTAACCGTAGTATAGTCATGTAATTTGATCTAAACATTATATACGAGAAAATTTTCTTTCAATTGTCTCGGATAATTCGTCAATCAAGCGAATACGAGAAAGAAAGAAACTAAAATTTTGACATTATTCTTACGGAATTAAACGTGCTAAACATAGTTAAGGAATCATTTTTGTGAACGTTTTGATAACAATAACTTTTCATTTCTTTAGAATAATACTACGTAATAAATAATAATCTATATTAGCAATATGACCACCTTCAATCCCCATTATGAGGACTCACATAAATATTTTCGATGGTGCCACTTATTTGTTCGACGTATAATAATACATTTAATTATTTATAAAATATGTGAATGAAGTATCAACCTTTTGATGTTCGTACAATAATATCTACAATTCCTAAATAGTCGGGCTCCGTAACAAGAAATGATGTATTCTATTAAATCGGCCCTTTACGTCAATTGTTTTGAATAAATTAATTAATTATTTACCCATGAGGATTCGACATTAATCCTTTTGTACCTATTGACTAATGTACTTGAGATGTATTACCTCTAAATCCCAAAAGACATTATATAAATTGAATTAAGAGAATTATTTTTTGTCGCAAGTATTCACTTGTAGTACACCATATTTCAATGAGTTGACATAATTTTACTTGATTTGTTTGATTCTTTGATCTCCTCTAGCTCACCATACAATTCGAACATTTGTCCTCGAGAATCCAACATTAATTATCTCATACATATTAATTGAATGTACCGGAGATGCATTTCCTATAACTCCCTAGAAAGATATTATGAATTGGATTAAGATAATCAGTCATCCTAAAATTAAGATTTATTTCATGTCGCAAATATTCATTCGTACGTAGCATATTATATTTTAATGGATTGATGTAATTTTGGTTGATTTGTTTGTTTCCTTGCTTCCCTCATGCCGACCCTACTATTTGATCATCTATGTCCTCGAGGACCTCACAATAATTCTCTCATACCTACTAATTGATGTACCTAATGTATTTCCTCTAGCTCCTAAGAAAGACATTATATGAATTGGGCAAATATAAAAAATTAAAATTTAGTTCTTGCGGCAAATATTCAGTTGTAGCATACCATATTTTAATGGAATGACGTAATTTTTGTTGATTTGTTTGCTTCTTTGCTCCCCGCTTGCCCGCCCTACAATTTGATCATCTGCCTTTGAGGACCCGACATTAATGCTCTCATATCTACTAACTTATATGAATTGGATTGAAAGGATCGATCATTCCAAAATTAGGATTAATTTCTTATCCTAACTATTCATTTACAACATACCATATTTTAATGAATTGAAATTTCAGTTGATCTGCTTGTTTCTTTGCTCCCCACCTGCCCACCCTATACTATTTGATCCATTGCCTTATGTTATAGTATTTTTTTATGGAATCTTCAAAATTTATTTGAAAAAATCATTTCTTCCTTTATTTCTAGCAAGTTGCATCTAAGACTAAAAAATCAAAAAGTGTAAGTATATGCACGAAAAAGTCATGATTTGAAGTTATAATAAACCATACTCCTATATGATACGGGCATTTAATACCTTATATAAAATATAAAACCCATCAATGTGTTCCATTGATTGGCCAGTTAAACATTAAAATTAAATATTTAAGCAATTTTTTGTTTATTTTATAAAAAAAAATTAGCATTCATTACGAATACATGTGTACTTTCAAAAATTATATTTGACATACTTCATAATTGCCTTTAAGCTCTCCGATAAATTATTATTAGTACTAAATACTAGTTGGAAGAGTAAAAACGGAACCCAAAATATTTATGAGTTACGTTTGTTATTTTAACTTTTTTATTTAAGAATAGAGTCGCCGATCTTGGGATGGACATCAAACAACTACTAACTACTTTTATAGTAGCCTTATTGTTAATAGATTTCTTTGGGAGGTATGTCGTTACTGACATTTTTATTATTCATTTTGGTATTTGATTATAAAATAATTTATGTTTTTCAACCAAGTAAAAAAAAAAAAAAAAAAAAAAAAAAAAAAAAAACTCGACGCCAAGTCTGAAGACTCTCAATGCCCTAAACAATAATAATAGCACATATGTTTGAAATAGTAATTCACGGATCATAAACGTATCTTAATAGATTTATATAAAATAATTACTATAATTGTACCATTGTCAAGGTGCCCTGATCTAAACATGCTAGACTAGTTGACAAGTTAGTAGCAAAAGTGTAGACTTAAATAATAACGCACGTTAAAATTTATTTTATGAAAGATGATTTAATAAAAAATCAAAATTAAATCACATACGGCGACGATGCTTATGCCGTTAAGACAACATGGGATTTTACTAGGGGTGTCAATAGATATTTAAAAACAGACTAAACCGATCGAACCGTACCGTACCCAATCGATTTTTAGGTTTCTTTTAATATTAAAACCGTAGGTTTTTATATAAATATATAACCGAACCGATAATTAAGGTAGTTTTTTTATTATATGAAAATAAACCGAAAAATACCGAATCGTACCGAATAAATTTACAATGTGAAAAATATATTTATATATTAAGTTTAAAAATAATATAGCATTAAATTTTTTCTGGACCCTTGAAATTATGAAATAATTACAAGCCAACAAGCAATTAAACTTAAAATCCTAATTCCCAAACCTATTATGGTACTCTTATTGAAACTAAATTATTTCCAGCATATTCACTAGCAAAACACAAGGTATTATAGCTATTATGAGTATCAAACTACAATGTATTGAATATGTTTCCTTTCGTATGATTTAGATTTATCTTTTTGAATATTTAATCTTTTATAGACTTTATTCTTGAAACCCAGCTTGGTTAATATCTTTCCACTCGTGTGATATATATATACAACAACAACAACAACAACCCAGTATAATCCCACTTAGTGGGGTCTGGGGAGGGTAGTGTGTACGCAGACCTTACCCCTACCCTAAGGTAGAGAGACTGTTTCCAAATAGACCCCCGGCATCCTTCCCTCCAAGACCTTACCTTATCACTACTATATATATATATATATATATATTTGTATTTTCTTAGTTTCTTTTACGCTGATGTAGAATAGTTGATGGATATATACTCTAGCCATCTTTTATATTTTCTTAATTTATCACCTTTTAAACTGTAAAAATGTCTAGAGAGTTTTGCTAACTCCTATAAAAGTACGTATGTTATTGCATTCTACTTCTAGTAGTGATTTTTACATGACATTTTAAAAAAATTACCAAATATTTACCGAACCATACCGATACTGAAGAGAAACCGACATGATTAAGACGATTTCGAAAAGTCTAATTTCGGTTATACATAATAGAATAACCGAAAATTGGTATGGTACAAATTTTATAAAAACCGATCGAACCGAACCATTGACACCCCTAGATCCTACAAGCAAGGCTTGCATGTTTTTAAATTTTTCATAACTTCAAAATCAATATTGATTGGGACCACATAAATTTCACGGTAAGGTAAAATAATGTCACTTTGTTGATGCAAAATACACAATTATTGTAATTAAATTGTCAACTAAAGATCATAAATATTCAAGGAAAACACAATACTATGTGATTGCAATTATCATCCTCTTGAAAAACAATGTAATAAAAAAGCAAACATGTGGTACCAAATAATGTATTATCAGATGCTCCAATCTCCAAGCAATAAAAATGTAATACGTAGTAGCGTGCTCCGTGCTAGTAAGCAGGAAAATAAACGATACCGAACAAATCCACTCACTGTGTGTGTGTGTGTGTTTGCTCGTACGCCGCAAGCGAAGACAGTGCGTATTGTAACTGTTCTCTGAACGAATCAAATGTTCATTCGAATACCTTCCTAATCTCCGCCATAAATTTACAGCACCCAAAGTATTTTCCTTTTTCTAATAAAAAAATACACATACTCCAATCAGATTGTACATAGTAAGTATTTTACTTTTTGCATAATCGCCCTTTACAACTTTCAAAATTGACATTTGCTACCACATATATAATCAATATCAATAGAGAGAGAGAGAGAGGGTACAGATAATACGCATTTGGATTTTTGGGGGTTTTCTTTGTGCTATTTTTGTTCATTGCATGCGTTGAATTGTAGAGATAATTACGCTTTGAATGGTATCCCCAAACAAAGGCAAAGGTGTATGCTTAATCTTAATCGATCGTCTCCTTGTCGGCGATGTCTAAACACAACAAGGAACGAACTCTCAATGACTTGTACAATGTGACTTTCACTCTCCCCCAACCTAAGGCACGTCATTTGCCCTTTTTTTAAAATTCAATTAGGGGTTTCTTCCTGTGTTTTTTGCCTTATATCCTATCAATTCATCAGTAGATAATAGCTTCAATTGATGCCGGTGTCGTTCAGTTTTAACTGCCTCCTAAATCGTTGCATCAATCAAAAGTTTCGATTTTTTTTTTATCTCAATCGGAATCAGTATGGAACAGCATCGTTTGTGGATAAATTTCAATGTTGATTTGTTCCTGATACTTGTTTGAAGAAGATTTTTCAGTTCTGTGAAGGTTAGGGTTTCCGATTAATCAAAAATATACTTTTTATTAATTTATTATTTCCATCCTATATGCATACTGGAGTTGTGGAATTATTCAGTTCAGTTTATGTTATTGAAGTTGTTATGCTTTGGAATGTTACACGATCTGTTTGCTGCAGAACTGTTGTTTTTAGATTTTGTATGATGCTATTTGGCTTTGACTGATAGTGTATTTAATTCGTTTTTAGATCACCCCTGTGTTGAGAGGAAGCTATCGAATGCAAGGGCCGTTTGATGAACCTATCTGTAACTCCCAGACGCATACGGTGAGCCTACAGGGTAATTTACGTGCTGTGTGCTCGTTCTCTGACTCATTATTCGCTTCCATTACCACGATGTACATTCACTTCCTATTTGCTGTCGATTAGTTTGTTTGGAAAATGTATGTCAGTGTTAAAAATAGCGTGAAGCGAGGAAAAGCGACAACCCCCATTTCACGAAAAATAAGAAGCGAAGAGCCCGCTTTTTTGTAAGTGAAGCGGAATTTAAAAAAAAATTTAAAATAAATAATTGGGCAGAAACTTGGCAGAAACTGGGCAGAATTTTTCTGAAAAAAATTCGCCAGCATTTCGGCGCTTTTTGGACGTTTAGAAAAAAAAAGAAAAAGAAGAAGAAGAATGAAATAAATCTGGAAAACATACCTGTTGAAACTAAGTTGCTGTTGTACTGATGAAGTGTTGAAGAAGAAGAAGAACCCTACTTTACTTGAACAAATCAGCGATTTGGGTCTTTTAATTGAAAAAAGACTTTGGGTCTTTTAATTGAAAAATCGTCCGCTTGGATCGCTTCTAGGCGCTTCACCGCTTCTCGCTTTTTAGAGAGAAGCGGTCGCTTATGCATACCTGAGCCGCTTTTAACACTGGTAGCGATACCCCTCCCGCTCCGCTTCTTAAGCGAGGAAGCGCCCGCTTTTTTTAACGCGGATGTATGTAAATTGCGGGTTTTAGTTCTTTTTTATCCTGGAGTTGCCTGGAGTTCGACACTCCCCTGAATTATGCTTCACAACATTGTTAAGATATTCTTTGTTGGCTTTTCGGAAATTTGGTTGTTTACTGTGGAGAGCACTGCCATTTCTTGGGCTATATTATGGCATCGTTGATAATTACAAGCTGTTAGCAACTTAACAGAAATGTGTAATGTGGTGCAAGTAGAACGTGTCTGGTTGAATCTAGCATTTTTCATTATTAATGGAAGGCAATATCTTTAGAATAGGCAATATCTGAACAAAATGTTAATCATAGGGGTTAGTCTTTCTAATGGAAGGGAAGTACTTTTGAAATGCGAAGGACTATTTTTTTGTTATTCAGTTATAATTTCAGTAAGGAAGGGCTGAATCTTTTCTTTTAATATACTTAGACTCTGATATCTTAGGATTTGGTAACAGGTACTTTTGTTTTTGACTAATGTTAAGAGGAATCTTTTGAATGTGAAGGACTAGCCCGTTCTTATTCATTCTCCCTTTTTGTTTTTAAGAAAAAGAAGGGTGCTGAGTGCTCCTGTTCAGTTAATACCATTTAAGATACCTGAGATGTTAAAAGTTTGTTAGTAGGCCTTTTCTAGTATGCGCTTTCCGGTAAGGATTTTTTCCTAGTATGCTTGACTCACTTTTTTTGCCTTAATCTCTTTTTGTTGAACAAAGTTTCCCTGTTGTTGATTCCTCCCCTTGAAAACTCCTTTTTAAATGCTCTGTGGTGTTCAGGTGTCAACTGAAGTTAGTAAGGAATCCATTCGGTGTCCTCGGAATCAGAGTGTTGGTGGAAGGCTAGTCTCCGGGTCGTGTAACGTGTGTTCTACTCCTTGCTCATCTTGTTTTCCTACTAGTCAAAGCCTCATGGAATCAACAGTTGATGAGTTTTCCGGGGAAACCGGTATGATAAATAGTTTAAGTTTCTCTGTCAATGATGTTTCTTCTTCTAATAAGACGAGAAAATGTGAAATTAGACAGAGTAGTGAAATAAACAGTGTAATCCGCACAAGTTCGAGTAACTTATCTTTTTCTGCAAATGCTGAAATTAAATCAAATGCAAGGACTTCTGATGTTTCATCCGCTACTTCAGATGGTGCAGCATTTTTGAAGTTAAAGGATCCCAAATCTCTTGAAGGCCTTGATGACAATATATCATGTGTCGTTAGAGCCAACGAAGCTAATAAATTGTCCAGCTCCAGTAAGATGAGCGAAGACAGATCAAGTCTACAGTGTTCTTCTACTTCTAGTGGAAAAACAATAAATAATCAAACTTCTGCTGGATGTGTACATGTGAAAACTGAGGCAGATGACAGTTCAATTGACCACAGTGGCCGGAATGAAAGTAATGGTGAGGCGAATAATAAGGCACCTATGGGGGAAACATCTTCAAGAAATGCACATAGTATAGGAGACTATTTGGAAAATAACCATTCATCAATAAAGAACGATGTGGCATCTGAAGCTTCTGGCGATCTACCTGCTGATACTTGTCCTGAGAAGGATGACCAAAAGAGTGTTGGATCACCCGTTTCGTCTGATACAAAGGATGCTCTACAATCACATCAAATGGATGGGAGTGAGGATTCTGACATTGAGGAGCAAGATGTAAGTAAGAATGCTTTTGCTATTTTCTCTTGGAATACTCCTTTTCTTTTTGTTTGTTTTGTCCTCTAAACATGTAATTTGTCTCATCCCAATAGATCAACCCCAGGCAAGACCAACATGATTTGTAACTGATAGTCAGTTGTGATTGAATTTTGTTTAATTACCCTGTACTGTGTGCTGCACAACCTGACTTAGGAGACTATGGGCGATTAACTTCTAGAGTAGGAAATGTGAGAAATCTTATGCTTTTGTCTCTTTAGATACGGAAGAAGCTAACTAAATTTTTAGAAGATGTAAACGCATTTGCATATCTTCTTTCATGTCATCAGTCACATGCAGAAATCACTTAAGCTCATAGATTATGTTTATTTTGTCTGGGCATATCTTGCCTGTCGAGGCGGAGGACTATTGAATGACTAGAGCATGACTTATTGGGGGCATCATTCCTACTATGGGGTTAGACAGTTCTAACTTGCTTACAGAAAATAGTATTTTCACGCAGTGTTGTCAAAGGCGCGCTTAAGCTCTGAAGCGAGGCTCAAAACATGTTGAGCGCTTCGCCTCGCTTTGTGGGCGCTTTAATGTCACATCAAAGTTCTAAGGCATATTTTTCCTTGCCAACGAGTGTAATCCTGAAAAGGTGATATTAAACAATTAATATTTCACTTTATCATAAATTTTTTGCAATTTCTTTGTCCATATATTTGCTATTCATACGTATAATTATTAGTCTTGGACTACATATACATATTTTTACTTTTTCTCCAGTTGCACCTTTTTTCATTAAAGCCCACGCTTTATTTGCGCTTTGCGCTTAAAGCCCCAAGGGACCTTAGAGCTTTTTTGCGCTTTTCGCCTTTGATAACACTGTTTTTACGCTGGTAGAGCGAAATGCCAATATCAAATTCTATGGTTCTTTGTTGAAGATGTTAGTACCTCACTCACTGTGTATCAGACAGGGGTTATTAGATCAAAACAGGAAAAACTGCTACTTCAAAAAACAAAGGAAAAACTGTTGAGCAGAAAACTAATGAATAGTTGCACTTCAAATGGATGGTCAAATCGATTAACTTCTATATATGAACACTAAAAAAACAAGCGGTCCCTGATCTGCAACAACTGCTTCGTTGGTTCTTTGTTTGTTTAGATTAGTCGTCCAGATTCATTTTCGCCAAAAAAGGTTTAATAAATTAAGGTGTCATCTGAAATTCCTTTAGCAGGAAGATGTTTTCTCAATACTATTACTTATTACAATGCATGAATTAGTGCTATGCATGTGACTTTTGTTTCCATCTTTATTTGAGGCACACATTTCTCTTTTCTTATGCACATAAGTGATGAATTTGGCATGTCTTGTTTTTCTAGTATGGGAAATCATGCTGCCTTATTGTGCGAATTTTGTAGCTGTTACTTCTTCCTAGTTCGTAAATTTGTATGTAAGACCCTCCTTTTTCCCCTTTGAAATTGCCGGTGTAATTTCGTTGCCAATTACAGGTGAAAGTTTGTGATATATGTGGAGATGCTGGTCGGGAGGATTTACTTGCCATATGTTGCAAGTGTACAGATGGCGCGGAACATACGTAAGCCTCTAATTCATTTTATCTCCACGTGTTCATTTTTGTTCCTTGTGTTGTGGTTAATGAAAATGTTGCTTTATCCTAGGTATTGCATGCGAGAGATGTTACAAAAAGTTCCAGAAGGGGATTGGATGTGTGAGGAATGCAAATTTGACGAGGAAATGAAAAATCGGAAAGGTGATAAATCTGTGAAGTTTGATGGATACAGAAAAAGTTATCATACTGGACAAACTGCTATTGACGATACAGGCGTCACAATAAAAACAGAAGCAAAACCTTCTGATGCTGATGGGGAAACAGCTTCTGATACTAAAATATCTGGCAAGAGGCGTATGGATGATAGTGAAGTTTCTTCTGTGGCAAAGAAGCAGGCCTTTGAGCCAGCTTCGGTATCACCAAAAACACTAAGTCCCAACAGACTTACTGCACTTTCCCGTGAAAGTTCATTTAAGAACTCAGATAAGGGGAAGTTGAAATCCGTTAATCAGATCTCTTCTGGAGGTCTTTCTGTTCATGATACTCCAGCGTGGGGGCCACGGCTCCAAACTGCTAGAGGTAATTTTATCGAAATTGGCTTGGATCATACCTTCTCCAATTACTAAGAGATTCTCTGAATTCTCTAAACTTTTAGCCACTTTGTACGGCTCATAGTATTGCGTTACTAATTAAGCTGGATTCTTTTTTCTACCTGCAGGCACCTTTTCAAAGTCTAATTCTTTCAGTTCCCTGGCTGCAAAACGAAAAGTGCAACTTGTAGATGAAGGTTTCCTGCCGAAGCAGAAATTGGTTAATGAATCTGCTGGTCTTGATGTGAAAGAGAGTTCGATCCGATCAATGAGCAAATCTATGTCATTTAGATCCATAAGCACAAGCCGCAACAATGTCTCTGAAGCAAAGGTTAAGATGTTATCCCCTAAGTTTTCCCCTGCTCAGGACAAAGGACAAATGCAGACAAAAGAACGAAATCCATTTGAAAGGAAGAGTTCTTTTAGATCAGAACGTTCTTCTGGTACTTCTGTTCCTTCTAAAACTGAGCAAAGATCAGCATTTCGAGGTGATCCTTCTCCACTTTTTTCCTCAAGTAATAACCGTGATTCTAGACCAGGTCAGCTTGACAGCAAACCTGTGTCGTTATTGAAATCATCTGGTGCTGTTGCTCGTAGGACTCCAGAAGTATCTGTTCATTCAGGTAGAGTGGCTTTGCATTGATGTGCCTTCTGTATTTCAATCCTTTACTCATAATTTTCTGCGAGGGGGTGGGAGTTAAAGCCTTTTACTTTTAATAGTCATTTCATGACGTATCTTTTGGTCTACGTGAATCAGATGAAGCTAAGAAGCAGATATCACTCACATCCATCTCCACTGGAGTTCCCGCTGCCAATAAAATTAGTAGCTCTGATCAGAGGCCTAACCAGAGTAATGCAAGGGATGATCCTTCGTCGATCTCTTATATTGCTGAGAGACCAACATCCAACACTGGTGAAGGTCTGTTGGATGGGGTGTCCCAGCAGAGGGAAACAAAAAATGTTGGTGAGAGAATAAGGGAGAATTCTGGGAGACGCTTAAAACACAGTGGAACTGGTACGAAGTCACTTTTCTGCCAGAGGTGTAAAGGAAGCGGTCACTTGACAGAAAGTTGCACTGCTGACGGGCCTGATTTATCCACTTCTGATGTTTCTGCTGTAAAAAATTCTAAAGAGGCCCCAAATGGCACCAGCGATCTGAAAGCTGCAATTGAGGCTGCTATGCTAAGGAAGCCTGGAATTTGCCGTAAGAATAGGGTTTTTGACCAGTCTGATGATTTGGCTATGTCAAACACAAATTCTGAAACAACGGCTCAAGATCTACCATCTGGTTCGAGTGGCAGAAGAATTTTACCTACCAATGAAGAAGGCTATGGGCTTTCATCGAACTCTATGACTGGCTCCTATAAACAGGAAATCAGCAATATGAGGCAGCTGTCAGTGCTTGCCGCTGAAGCTCTTAGCAGAGCAGGGAATGCGGTCCCTATTCTTCCATCTGACGAAAAGTCTTCACTTGTTGATTTAGATAGATATTCTCAAGCAGCAATTGCAATACTTTCGAGGACAGCAATTCCAGAGCATGAATATATATGGCAGTATGATGTCCACCTTTATCTTAATTTTTGTAGTTTTTCCCTTGGGGTTTATAATTGGTTGTAGTTGTGAGATTTTATTGCATTTCGGAAGCAGTTGTTTACGCATACTTTTTGTTCAGGGGTGCTTTTGAGGTTCAGAAGAATGGGAGAACTCTTGACTTGTGTGATGGAATTCAGGCTCATTTATCAAGTTGTGCATCGCCCAAAGTTCTTGACACAGTAAACAAATTTCCTCAAAAGGTCCTCTTTAACGAGGTTTCACGGTTGAGCACTTGGCCAATACAATTTCAGGAGTATGGTGTCACAGAAGATAATATTGCACTGTTCTTTTTTGCTAGAGACATTGGGAGGTAAAATTTTGCTATTCCTCCTAAGCTTTCTTGCTTTCAATAAATTGGGTGTCCCACCTGTATTATCTAGGTTTTCGATCTGAAATTGATGGTATTCTCAGCTACGAGAGGTGCTATAAAACTTTGCTGGAGAATATGATTAGGAATGACATGGCTCTCAAAGCGAATCTTGAAGGTGTTGAGCTGCTGATATTCCCATCTAACCGACTTCCTGAAAAATCTCAACGTAAGGATGATTGCATTTTGTGAGATACTTCCTTGAACTTGATATATGCTGTGCTTTGACATTTTTAATGTTATTCATAGCTACTTTATATTTTTAAGCATTATCTCGTAATTTTATTTCAAGCATGAGGCTCTATGGACTGTGACAGACTTGATTCACATTCTATTACCTTGCTTTGCTATATGGAGTTACTGGATATGGATGGATTAGGATTTTGTGAAGTTTCTGATCCTGTACCCCGATGCCAAAAATAGAAGAACTCGTCTTCTGTAACTTCTTTTATCAACATTTGCTGAATACTTCCCTTTCAATTATTGTTTAAGCAGATACTGCTTTTCTGCTTGCTACATTAGCTACTCTTTACTTGCTTCTATGCAATTGTGGGTATACTGGTCAGCGCATTTCAGTTCATTCACATGTGGTAATGAATGATCTGTAGGTTGTTGAAATTGCACACATGCATTAATGCAAATTTATGCTCTGGAAGATACTTAATGCAAATGAGTTACTGGATATGGATGGATTAGGATTTTGTGAAGTTTCTGATCCTGTACCCCGGTGCCAAAAATAGAAGAACTCGTCTTCTGTAACTTCTTTTATCAACATTTGCTGAATACTTTCAATTTTTGTTTAAGCAGATACTGCTTTTCTGCTTGCTACATTAGCTACTCTTTACTTGCTTCTATGCAATTGTGGGTATACTGGTCAGCGCATTTCAGTTCATTCACATGTGGTGATGAATGATCTGTAGGTTGTTGAAATTGCACACATGCATTAATGCAAACTTATGCTCTGGAAGATACTTAATGCAAATGAGATGGAGAAAATTGCTCTTTGTTTTTGCTTATTCTGATCATCTTGTTTATGCAGGGTGGAATATGATGTTCTTCCTATGGGGTGTCTTTAGGGTAAAGAAGGCAAGTTGTGTGCAACATATGCAGGCAACTGGAAAGCCATTTCCTCTACCCCAGGCTATTCCAAAGTCAAGCATGCTTTTTCCAGAGAATGTACGTTGTCTCGGCCCTGTCGACAATGCTGCGAGTGATAATGTTACCATGGATGTTGAGGTAATTGCTTCAAAGGAGTCTGGTTGTCCATTGGTCAATGGAAATGTTGATTCGAAAGCATCCCAAGTTTGCAAAGGTGACTCTGTAGCCGTAAACGTGGAGCACCTGGAGCCTAGCTCCGTCACAATTGTACCAACTAGCCAGTTGAATTCTTCCCCAGGGAGGAGACGATATGGCATTTTCCAGGTGCTGTTTTAACTTCATCATGTTTGCATAGAAGGGTTCGCCAACCGCTGTTCAATGGTTCAGTTTTGTAATTCTAGAACAAATTTGATTAGTTGTTTCCTGCTTATTGTCTTTTGAATGCAATATGGTTTCTAGTAGGTGGTGGGGCATTTGTATTTACCCTCTATTTCTATCTGGGATGTTCTTTTTGGGTACATGTGAACAAGGAGGCTATGATTCCATTATAGGAGAAAACTTGAGAGGAGAAGTGAGAGAGCAAGGAGTTCCCAAGGCAATGAAGTAGAAAATTTCCTATTAAACAAGATTTGGAAAGAGTCAGTGTGTGAATTTGAAACTCATTTTGTTCATACACAGTTACACACGTTGCACTAGAGTGCCAGCCCCAACTCCTCCCCCCCAAACAACCCAACCCAAAAAAAGAAAAGAAAAACAGGCACACACACACTCTCACAGAGATAGTTCCAGTCCAGTGCTGCTTTGAGTTCCTTTTGTGACTCTAGTATGTTGTCTGCTTGGTTGCTTCAGTGACTTGCTATTCAGTGCTTATTGTGCTTTTTAATTCTTGCCTTTAAGAAAAAGTACTTATTCTGTGTTTCGTTGTTAAGGTCTTGCCAATCCTGGTTTTTGCTGTTGAACTGGCGACCTTACAAACAAATCCTAGTCAGCATTGATTTTCTAGTTTGTAAATAACATGTCATATATCATTTTTTTTTTAACAATAAGGTAGGATAAAAAACATGTCATATATCAACTCAAAGTCCAAATGCAGCCCAATTCTGGCATTTGTTGCTTCAAGTGATGAATGATGTCATTATGGCTTGATTTTTCAGAGTTTATATCTTTTTCTTTTAGGTTTGCACATTTCTTGCTAGTATCATTTCCTCTCTTTTGGCTGGTGTAAGGATCATTGAGAGCACTTGAGTCATTTGACTTGATATCTAGACTTGTTATACTGATTCTTAGATGGATCACAACATTTTCTTATGGATGTATTCTCATTATGTCCCAAAACGCTGTAATTGGCTTGGGCGACCCACTGAGAGTCTCTACCTCAATCTTTCATTTGGGTCATCTATGACTTAACAGGGATAAAATCTTGGACTTCTATTTGTTTACGCTTAGGATATAGTTGAATTGTGCCATGTGCTATTAAGTCCATATCATTCATTTGTTGCTCACATCTAATGCTCGAAGTTGGAATAGGTAATTGGCTATTATTTCAGGCTTTGCAATTGTCCCGCTTCACTTAGATTTGGCATAGCTTATTTAGCTGTTGCACGTTGTTTTCCTCATGTCAGTACATCTGATTTAGTTCTCTTGTGTATATTGTCAACCCTAGTTTTTGTGTTTCGTTGTCACTGTTTTAATATGCTTCCCTGCTAGTTAGTTGTCATGTCAGTGATGGCTTTTCAAACCTAATAAACCTATAAAGGTACCACGGTTATACCAGAGGGCCACCATCAATCATTTTTTTGCTAGGATTGAAGTTAGGAAGAAGTTCTCAATGACAAATGAAACTAAAGAAGAAAAACTCTATGGTTGTTTATCTTGTCGCATGCTAGTTGTCCCTTAATGGTCAACCTGCTGCTATGTAGTGGATATGGTAGTAGGTTTAACTTGTTATTCACAAATATTTCTTATGTTTCTTTTTTTCTTAGTAGTGAGTGTCAGCTCAAATTTCTTTTCTTCAAAATCATGTCTAATCTATCCTTCATGCTGCAGTTATATGGGTTTTATTTTTCTGGATCAATACCTATTGGCAGCATAATTGGTCCAAAAGATTTGGCCTCTTTTAGGCCAACGGCCCTGGTCATCGTGTAGGGACCACAAGTGGACCATGTCCACAGTTCTGTATTGCTCACTCGCTTTTTAAAATTCTTCTAGTGGCTTGATATATTGCCTTTACCTAGTGGGATCAAGTTGTGCAAAAGTGTTCGTCCTAAGCCTGCAACCAGTGGCTTGGGTGGGGTGGGGGTCCTCCCTGTTTTCATTCCTTGAATGTTTATACGGAAGATTTTCCCTTACTCTGCTGCTTAAAAACTAGTTCATTTACGTTGCTGCTGCTTGTTCCTAATGCACATCATTAACACTCTTTTAGGTCGGAGATGCTGGACAGGAATGCAAATCGGAATTGCAAAGTAGTTCTACTCCAGCTGCCAATACTTGGACAAATGTTAGTATAACTGAACCAGTGCCAATGGAATGTGGTTCTTTAGTTGATAGACAGAGGCCATCCCATTCTGTTGATGAAGCTCCAGGCCGTATGCAGGAGAAAGCTTCTATGGGCAGCACGGAGAAGGGCTTTGGTAGCACAAATGGTAGGAAATTTGAGATAAATCTGGAGGATGAGTATAAGGATGAAGAAGCATCTGAAACGAGCGGAAGTGCAACTACTGAACCAACACGGAAGGTGCTTAATAGTGATATGCTGAACCACCTGAAACGTCCACGTTCCGTGGAGACAGTGATGCAATCTGTTGACTCTGGAGTTAATCTGGCAACCCGAAGTTTTAATGATAATGACATTGTAGTTGAAAAGGCACCCTACGACAAAAAATTGAAGACTAGTGTTGGTGGATCATATGGTAATAGCGAGCAAACTAGTTGTTCCAGTGATGATTTTTTGTCACGGA